ATGCCCATCCCGGATGGCAATGGTGAAGTTCTGTCTCATTCTATCATGATGAATAGTCCACGAGTTTAAGATTTGATCATCCATCGCTCACAACTCATCATTAAAATAGCACTCCACTGTCCACTCTTCATGTCTGATAAGGAGTGTGTGTTGGTGGTGTGTGTGCATAGTTTTGTAGTGTATTGGTAGATGAGGAGTCTGGGATGGTGAGTCATTTAGAGGAGGTTGAGAAAGTCAGTACATTAAGAATTAAATGACCTCTACTGTACTGTCGTTGGTTATGCAACAGCTCATTTGAATGTTTTAGTGAGTTGAACTTTAAATGTCTCCCTAAGCTCAGGCCATGGACTACTGTAAAGATGGCCATGTATATGCTTTCAGTGCTGGACCAATACTTCAGCTCTTCTGCGTATGATGGAGTGAAACGTAACCCCCTTATATGGACTTTGCAATGGTTTAAGAAATATCCGGTTGACCGATATGGCCTTTTTGGACACAATAAGTGACACTGTTACTCTGCAGCACACAGAAGAATAAATAAAGATGTACAACTGCTGCTTTGACTATTCTGTGATGAAGGATTCCATCAACTAGTTAACGGTTCTCATGCTGTTTCTCTCTCTCTCTCTCTCTCTCTCTCTCTCTGTGTTTCCATGGAGGTTGCTTCGAGTGCTGCATCAAGTGTCTGGGCGGGGTGCCGTATGCGTCGCTGGTGGCCACCATCCTGTGTTTCTCCGGCGTGGCCCTGTTCTGTGGCTGTGGCCATGTAGCCCTCACTGGCTCCCTTACCATCCTGGAGAACCACTTCTCCAAGGTCACCTCTGACCACGCCATGCTGACCGACGTGTGAGTGACCGCACCTGACCCCATGAGTAGTGGCTAGGAGTCCTTGACCCTAAAACTGGCCATGAAAAAAACAATGTTCCCTAGTTATATCCTATAAGCTATAAGTAAGGCCTGGCTAGATATCATAAGTAACCTACTGTTTGACCAGAGTAGAGCATTAGTAAGATGCAACTGGTCCCACCCAAAACCCATACATCTCGATCCAGGCAGTACTAATGGCTATATGTCTATAATGATATCTTGAAGAAAACAAACTACCAGTTATATCGTATATCAACCCTTTTAATCTTAGTGAGCTGAACCTCCTAGCAGAGGCATAGATAAGCCCTATCCATGAATTACAGGTACTTTTATATAGATATCCTTTCTTCAATGAGCTCATCACGACAGCTATTTTGTTTGTTTTTTTATCAGAAAATAAACCCGTGCTTGCACCTTACCCCAGATGAGAACTAATATGGAGCTTTTCTCTTTTGGCTCCATTAGTCTAAAGGCAAGAGAGGAGAAAAATAGAGTAGAGAGAGAGGAAGGACAAGTGTTTTGTGTTGAGGTTTTAAGGGGAGTCTCTGTGAGTGCCCAGTTTAATTTCAAGTATCAAGTTTTAATGTAACATGTACAAGTGCAGTGAAATGCCTTTCTTGCAAACTCAAAACCCCACAATGCAATAGTCAATAACAATGTATTACTAGAAGAAGAAGAAAAAAAAAACACGAGAAGTAAGAATAAGAAATATGAAATACACAATAAAATGAGTAAAATGTCTAGAGGGCCGATCGGTCTCTCAGCAGATACGCATCGTCTGTTTACATGTTCATCCTACAAAGTTGTTAATGGTTTAAATATTTATTTTTTACTCAACGACAGAATTAATGGTAATAGGTTGCAAATTTTACAACCCGAGCCAAATCTTAAATGTATAAGCTTATGTAATACAAGCTGACACATTTACGGTATTTCCTCTAGCCTCATGTTGGAGGCTGAAACATAACAGAGTCATATTGGATTATCCCTAACGTAAACTATTCAGCGCGGTGCCTTTGATCGTGAACGGGACACAGAGAGGGTTTATACGATATGCTCCTATTTCAGAATACAGCTGATGCAGTACGTCATCTATGGCATCGCTTCCTTCTTCTTCCTCTATGGGATCATTCTGCTGGCCGAGGGATTTTACACCACCAGCGCTGTCAAGGAGCTGCACAGCGAGTTCAAGACCACCATCTGCGGACGCTGTATTAGTGGCATGGTACGTCACTATCGTCACCACTGCACTGTGTTAACCAAGCACTGAACTTACACCAGACACAAACAACTAACTCACTGCCCTCTTGAACAGACCACATTTTGTGCAACAAGCTAGTCTTTTATTTTTAATGTACTCAACCCGAACCACATTGACACCTGAGTTCTGTTTAGATGTGATCAATCAAAACAAGTTGATGACATAATGATGACGTCTGAGCAAATACTCAGCGCAAATGGGCACGAAATTATGTCCTCCCTTTTTAGGCCTACCGGTCAAATAGACGCAACAACAACTATGAAAATGCCAGTTATTATCCAGTTCTTCCTAATGCCAATACGAAGCTGTGTTTGCACACGTGTCTTCTCAGTTTGTGTTCTTGACCTACATCCTGGGTATTGCCTGGCTGGCTGTGTTTGGTTTCTCCGCCGTGCCCGTCTTCCTCTTCTACAACATGTGGTCCACCTGCGCCGCCATGAGGTCACCTGTGGCTAACCTCACCAACATGGACTCCATCTGCGTGGACGTCCGTCAGTACGGTAAGGGAAAACCGGAGTTACAGCCATGGGTCATCTTCATTAGGCAGCATGTGAAAGAAAACAGACTGAAACAGGGAGGGACTATCTGAACTTTTCCAACTTTTCCCGTTGCAAGCTTTTCTCTACGCTGTGCCCTAATGAATATGACCATATCCAACCAGGGTCCTTTCTACCCATAACACAGCGCAGATGTTTCCAATACCTTTTGTGTACAGTAGCCTGTTGAGGCTGTGGATCACTGATTTATATTGGTGTGTATCACAGGAGGTTGGTGGCACCTGAATTGGGAAGGACGGGCTCGTGGTAACGGCTGGAGGGGAATATGTGGAATGGTATCAAATACAACAAACACAAGGTTTGATGCCATTCTATTTGCTCTGTTCCAGCCATTATTATGAGCCATTCTTCCCTCAGAAGCCTCCACTGGTGTGTATAAAGATAATGAGAGGTTTTAGTGGCTGAGAGCCAACACGTTAGTGTGCTAAATATTAGTATAACAAACCACCCATCTCTCTTGACTAAGAGTTGAGGAGAGACTGACTGCATCACTTCTTCTTTTTCTAAGAAATAGGAATGTTTTGAAAGTCCCAAATTGTTTGCATAGTCAACTTACACACACACTTACCCCACCAGACATGCCACCAGGGGTCTTTTCACAGACCCCAAATCCAGAACAAATTCAAGAAAGCGTACAGTATTATATAGAGCCATTATTGCATGGAACTCTGTTCCATCTCATATTGCTCAAATAAACAAAAAATACAATAAAGCACCACCTCACGGCACAACGCCTCTCCTCTATTTGACCTAGATAGTTTGTGTGTATGTATTGATATGTAGGCTATGTGTGATGTTTTTAAATGTATGTAGTTCTGTCCTTGAGCTGTTCTTGTCTATTAATGTTCTGTATTATGTCAAGTTTCATGTTTTGTTTGCACCCCAGGAAGAGTAGCTGCAACTTTCGCAACAGCTAATGGGGATCCTAATAAAATACTAAATACCACTTTTCTCTGGCTCGATATCCTCCCTGTCTCCTCTCAGGCCAGGTTTTATAGCAACAATAAGACATTATAACGGCCTGAAATGTTCAGTGTGTCACATTGTACAGGTTTGATACACTCCACTCTACAGTCATGACATTTTAATGGAGATTTAATCTAAGTTATAACCATTCTGTAAATTCTAATGGGATATGTGACTATGGCCCATTAAGGATGTTTCTCTGGTTCCTTTCCTGCGTATCTATATGAATTATATGAATAGGTTTTCTGAAGACATGATGTGAGGAATTTGCTGTGTAAATATTAACCTTTGAATTGAACGACTGTCTGCAGGCATCATCCCCTGGAACGCCACACCAGGCAAGGCTTGTGGGTCCGCACTAGGAGACATCTGTAGTAGCAGTGAGGTAAGGCTTCTCTCCTCTCATCCTAATTCGCCGGTTACATACTGTACTGGCCACAGAAAAACAATAATTTGTATTCACAATGAGTTACTGTACTATGGTACTGTGTTCAATCACATTAATCCCAATGTTTTTTCTTGTCTTTCTCAGTTCTACCTGTCCTACCACCTGTATATCATAGCATGTGCTGGAGCCGGGGCCACTGTCATTGCTCTGAAGCTCAAATCGGCGGGAAGCGACTAAGAGCCGAGGAGAGAGAGAGAGAGAGAGAGGAGAGAGAGCGAGAGAGAGAGAGAGAGGAGGAGAGAGAGAGCGAGAGCGAGAGAGAGAGAGATGAGCGAGAGAGAGAGAGAGACGCGAGAGAGAGCGAAGCGACGCGAGAAGAGTAGACTCGAGAGCGAGCTCTGCGAGCTCGCAGATCTTCTATCCTCGCTCGCTCTCGAGCTATTCTCAGTCTATCTGCTCTCTCTCTCTCTCCTCTCTCTCTACTCTCTATCTCTCTCTCTCTCTCTCATCCTTATCCTTTCCCTCAGTCCATCCTTTCCATTTGTATCTGACTGTGGAATCCAGTGCTCCTCTCCTCATTTCCCATATGGTTTATATAACCTCTGACTGTAAGGCAGATTACACATAGGCTTTTTCACAACTCCAATCCCATTCTCTGTAAACCATCTGCTTAGATGCCCCGGGCCCCAGTCTTATTTTAGGAAAGCGGAAACAGGGTGGATGTTTGTCCTTGATTGGGACACATGGCAATGTTTATACAGTATCAATGGGAATCTCTGCAAGGAGATAAACGTGGAGACTACATCATTCTTTGAACTAAGGGCACCCCATTTCCGAAGAGTATAGAGTCCCGTCTTGGGTGTTTTGAAAACAATGAGTGTGACAGAAGAGGAACATTCTCTGTCAAGGCCATTTTCTTCTCTGATTGCTTCCAAAGATAGTTTCATAAGTTTCCACTTAACTCACATCTGAAAGTGACAAACAGGAATATTTTACTAATACTTATGTTTTTTTTTTACAAGTAAAAAGTTGAAACATCAGTTGTTGCCATGAACATGCATGTTCCTGGAGAGTTCCCTTACCGCCTGTATTCTGTTCTCTTCCACCAGCTGATCTACATGATGGCTACCACTTATAACTTTGCCGTTTTGAAGTTTAAGAGTCGAGAAGACTGCTGCACTAAGTTTTAACTGGTGTTCAGAGACACGGCACAGTCTAGGACACTGCTCTTAGTAGACAGCAGTGACTTTACTACATGGACTAAAAAAAAACACAGAAAATAGACAGCAACATATCTCCATTAGTCTTCACCTAAAGTGTAAATAGCTGATTGTATGCATCCTTTAGCATGTGATATCCAGGGATAGGCCTTCCTGAAGGACCAACGGTACCTGAGGAGAGTTGTCTTACAAATGGGGTGGTGTAAAGTTGGCAGAGTTATGCTTTTCTCCAGATCTTGTTAAGATCTGATTAGGACAATAAATCAGTAATAACTCCGTTAAATGACTAGCACTCAGACTAATAAACAGTAGGCTTGGAGGAGGAAGACAACAACAATACTGTATTATGGAGGAGTCAGTGCCATGACGATTGCGCTTAAATATGGGGTGGAAAAAGTATTTGTTTTTGCTAATATTTAATTAGTCAGAAGACCAGCCAGGCTTGGAAAAGTGCATTTTCCCCATTCATGTTTTAGGTTTGATCGTGTGTACTTTTGTATTTTCTTGGTGCAAGCCACAAAGAGTTACACAGGGAATGGTCAGTATTACAAGCCTCTGTCACAAACTAGTTCCTCAATCAGATATACAGTAGATATAGACACTCTTCATCTGTAAGATGACATAGACAAGATGAACAGCATTTCAAATTTAACTGCACATATAACTGCACATATAACTAGTATTGTGAAAGGTTATCCCAGTACCAGGGGTATATTTTCGATCAAGGTATATAGCCTCAGTTTATGACTTCATATATTTTCTAAAGGAAGTTTTCTTATTTTAGAGGAATAATGTAATTGTTATGTGACCTGATGCCTTCATAGCTTCAGCTGATAGTTTCATGTTTTGTTTCATCCTTTTCTTTGACTCATCCAGAAACTGCCATTCAATTGCTTTTTTTTAACACTGAGTCTGCATGCTTACTTTATTTTATTTGGATTCCTTAATCTGTTTATGATTACTTATATTCCATATTTCATAAATATTTAATTATTTCCTGAGATTTTTGAAGACTGTAGTTATTATTTTTCTCTTTCTATACAAAATAAACAATCTTTGTGTACAAAATATCCCCAATGGTTTATATTTCTTCTCAAATGAAAAAGAGACACTAACTGAGAACAGTACCAATGACGGAACACAGCAAGATAGGGTCTATTCCATGTCACTCCACAATCTAATTCCACTCTTACCTCTACTAACCACCTGCACCATCAAGCTTGCATGCAAAACCTCGAACGAGACTCCCCTTCCGCTCCCCTTTAAAATGTCTCTTCTGGAGTGTTCTTTGTTCATTGTGTAATAATAATAAAGGAGGTTGTTTTGTAGGTATGTAAGTGTTTGTGCTGTGTTAAGTTAGCTGGTTGTTTTGTTCGTTGTTGTGGTAGTTCAGAGTGCTGTAGTGTTGTTGTTACATGGTGTGTGTGTGTTTTTGGTTGCTTACTGTTGTGATTTGTTTCCATTGTAAATTGTTTTTCTGGTTTTGAAGTGTGTGTGTTTTGCTTTGTTTAAATAAAGTTGTGTGTGTGTAGAAAATTCCCTGGTTTATATTTCGTTAAATGAAAGTGTTGGACTGATGATGTGGAGTAGTGTTCGTAGTGTGGACGTGGGTGACATGTGTGTGCAGAGTGTGTGTCGTGTTCGATGGTGCGGTCAGAGTGTAGTGTGCGAGTGTTATGTGCTGTGGATTCCGTGTGATCGTGGTGGTGGTTGTGTGAATGGTGGGGTGGTCTTCGTGCCTGTTAAAGGTGTGTAGTGTGTTGTGGGTGTTGTGTGTATTGTGTATATAATCGTGTTGTAATGGTGGTTATGTGTGTGTGGTGTGGTGTGTGTGTGTGTGTGTGTGTGGTGTTAAGTGTGTGTGTGTGTGTTCAGTGTGTGTGTGTGTGTGTGTGTGTGTGTGTGTGTGTGTGTGGTGTGTGTGTGTGTGTGTGTGTGTGTGTGTGTGTTCAGTGTGTTAAGTGTGTGTGTGTGTGTGGGTGTGTGTGTGTGTGTGGTGTGTGTGGTGTGTGTGTGTGTGTGTGTGTGTGTGTGTGTGTGTGTGTGTGTGTGTGTGTGTGTGTGTGAGAGAGACGTAGCTCTGACTCCTGTAGCCTCATCTAGCCATGCTCACCGGCCATCCACCTCACCCCTCTCTTCCAGATCCACTTCCTCATGATTCTCTCAGCAAACTGGGCCTACCTAAAGGACGCCAGTCACATGCATGCCTACCAAGACATCAAACTGAAGGAAGAGCTGGAGCTGCATGACGTCACGTCTCGTTCAAAGGAATGTCTCAATTCCTACACATAAGGATTACGCCCTCACACCTTTATGATCACACACACACCCTCAGACCCCCCCCCCCCCCCCCCCCCCCCCCCCCCCCCCCCCCCCCCCCCGCCCCCCAGGCCAGGCGGCCTGTCGGACCAACAGAACACTCAGCTCCCATAACCTGATAGCTGCCCTCATTCAGCACAGTACTAACGCAGCTCCTAACAAACTAATGCATCAATGTCGCTTTCTACAACTAACTGATCAAGATGTCTGTGTCGGAACCTCTCTTTTGTGTTTCGGATGTGAATATACTTTTGTTTTTGTATTTTTTAAATAATAATCTGTTTTCTTTTTTATCAAAGATGCAGTTTTGATTACACCTCATAGCACAACATGAAACGCCTTACAACATCACAGATATATAAAAGGGGTGCAGTGTGGTTTTTTCTAATTACATACAAATTTGGTCCTCCTGGCTCTGAATGGAGAGCGTATTAAGAGGAGGATTGTGAAGGCACCACAACATTCTATTGTACAACAGAACATGCATGTGTTGGCTTCTTTGACAAAGTCTTTACCTTACCCCTCTGCCCATTTGAAACTGTTAGGGTTTAGAATACTTTTCTCTTGCTAGTAGTTTGACTTGAAATAGGGATGATCATTCTGATTCTAGAATTTCACAAGTTACATTCATCACATACATTCCAACTAAAATGTTAATATTTTAATTGAAAAGGTAATAATGATGTAAAATACTAATTCCCTAAAAGAGGAACTACCTCATGCCTACGCAGGTACACTTACTGAGCATTCACAGGTATTTTAGCTGAGATAACCACTTGCCCATGTAACTGTAACCAAACCCGTGGTGTTTTTTTTATTTAGTTTAAGTCCTTTTAAGAGGAATCCCTTACGCTTTAGTCCTTACACCTTTAGTCCTTACACCTTTAGTCCTTACACTTTAGTCCGTACAACTTAGTCCGTACAACTTTAGTCCTTACACCTTTAGTCCTTACACTTTAGTCCGTACAACTTTAGTCCTTACACCTTTAGTCCTTACACCTTTAGTCCTTACACTTTAGTCCATACAACTTTAGTCCTTACACCTTTAGTCCTTACACCTTTAGTCCTTACACTTTAGTCCGTACAACTTTAGTCCGTACAACTTTAGTCCTTACACCTTTAGTCCTTACACTTTAGTCCGTACAACTTTAGTCCTTACACCTTTAGTCCTTACACTTTAGTCCGTACAACTTTTTTTTTTTTACTTCTTTTTTCTCTGGCAAGTTAATGGTGCCAATAAGAATTCTACAGTTAGACAGACCAAAATATTTAATCTTAATACATGGCCAAAAGTGTGATGCCATGGTTAATAATTAGTATCGTTTCAGTTTTTCAAATGCAGCATTTTTATAGACAGTCTACGTATAATTTAAAATGTCATGATGAATGTCTTTGTGAGATGAAAACTAAGGTCACATTTGACTAGAGAGCATGAGGATGGTATACTACCCTGTTGCACAGAGGGGCTTGTATGTCCAAAGTATTGTTGGGATGAAAAAATGCTTCTTATTGTATAACGTATGATCTTCCACAGTTAATTCCAAATTCCCATGTGTGACTTGAAATTCCCATGTGTGACTTGAAATTCACGTGTGACTTGAAATTCACATGTGACTTAAAATTCACGTGTGACTTGAAATTCCCATGTGTGACTTGAAATTCACGTGTGACTTGAAATTCACATGTGTGACTTGAAATTCACATGTGACTTGAAATTCACATGTGTGACTTGAAATTCACATTTGCAATTGTTAAATGTTTATCCCTATAACTACAAGATACAACATGCTTACATTTTACTTGGTCGAGAGAAAACTGGTGCGTTGAAACTAAATGTAATGTGCAGTGCTTTGTTACCATGGCAGACCTTATGATTTATACAGTGCAAGTAAGATGTGTGAACGTTAACCCTTCTACATTCAGGCTGAGATAACTCAGTGTTAGGGTGTGGATCTACAAAAACAGTGCTTGGGTGTGTACAATGTAAAGATGTTACAAGTCAGGAGTTTTTTGGTGATGTTTCAATCTTTCTATTGAAGATATAACCACTCAAAGAAGAAACAAAGAAACGTTTCTAAATCGCTGGAATTGTATTTCAGTATTGTTTTTGACGTGCAATTGTTAAAATACTGATATAATCACTGATGTAATCTTTATCTGTTATTTAGAGGAGACTTACAGGAATATTGATGTTTATCCATTATTGCGTTAAGGAGAAAACTGTTTCTGCAGTGATACAGGTGATGTGTAGTCATTTGTACTGACAACTATGGTAGGCAGTGTTTTCCTGTTTCCTTTTTGTTTATTTTTCTAACAGAGAACAATTTAATCCAGGGTATGTCCACTGTATGGCAATGTAATCCTAGGTGTTTCTTAGTTCTTCTTTTTCCAAGTCTAAAGTATATAATTCCTCTATAGTATT